TGGTGTTTGTAAATAGGATCACAAGTCCACTTCTTGTACAGCAATTAACCACTAAGAAGAATATATGCAGTGTATTATTTGTTGAAACTGTACTTCTGATTGGATTTGAAACTGTCTCATTGCTATCTCTTTATCAATAAAACTTTGAAAAAAAATTACTATAGCAACATATTCACTACAAAAAAAATTGGAAAATACACATAAGCATAAAGTAATGTTACCCATAATCCCCACCTACACAAAAATAACCACAATTTACTTTTTGGTATCACTCCTTCTAGTTACCTTATCAGAGCATTTTTTTTTAATTTTTAAAGGTTGGGAATTTTTATTTTTAGTATTTCAAAGTACCAAATTATAATTCCTACTTAGTTCAAATCTTGGCACAGCCATATAGTTATAGCCCTATATTGAATATAGCCTCAAGTATAGACTTTGGGGTCATTCAAATGACACCAGATGCTGCTTTTCCCTAAGCAAATAAGAGACAAGTTTGTTAGCACTCTTCCGTGTGTGCATGATATTGTGGGATCAGAATTCAGTAAGCATGAAGTTCAGCCTTTCTATACTCATGTACACTATTTAATGTTAATATTTTTGCAACACTAGCTGAGGTGGCACAACTGGCACACAGCCACTGAAAACTCCTGTATTCCACGGAGTCTTTCAAAGCACCTGGCTCTGCTTGCCTATCACCTGTAGAATAGTTCATTATTGAACAGTAATTTTATAAAGCAGTGATATTATAGAAATGTAGTAATCATTGGCATTTTGAAGCAAGGGACAAGTAATTGATTCTCCTTAAGAATCTGCTGTTCTGTTTTAACTTATTTTTTCTATTGAAATTATTAGTATCAGATTACAACTTAAATCCATTCTTACTATTTTTGTGGGTAAGAAAGAAATGTATGGCTTTACCTAACATTAGGATGACATGTCCTAGTATAAAAGGTAATAAATTGCCTTTCACTTTGATGATGAGATTAGCAGCTCTTAAAGCAGGGGAACCTAAGAAAGCTAATAACCCATTCCACCACTCTCTATCAGTACATAGACATTTATGTACAACTTTATGAAAGAATGAATAAAGTTATAATTTTAGAGCCAAAAAGGATCTGAGAATCTTATACTCGAAACTCTTCATTTTGCAAATGAGTAAAGTTAGACTCAGAAAGGTTTGAAAGTTGACAAATTTGTATAGTTTGTTTACTTAAAAATACATACAAACAACCAAATCTATTATTTATGCCCAGTTTTGTTCTTATTGTTGTTGTCATTGTCTTTCTTAGCCCCCCCTACCTTCCTCCCCATGAAGTACATTACACACCTAGATCTCTTCTTGGAGAGGTGCAACTGGATTTTTCTAATTCTTACAGCTTTAAAAGAACTTGAAGCTAGGTGTGATGACACATGCTTATAATCTCAGTACTCTGGGAGCTGAAGCAAGTTTGAAAGGATCATAAATTCAAGTTCAAGACTAGCCTAAGCAATTTAGTGACATAGAAAGACCCTGTCTCAAAGTAAAAAATAAAAACAAGAGGGCTAGGAAGTATTTGGTGCCAAGGCCCTGGGTTCAACCCTGCAACCTCTCCCCCTCCAAAATATAATGAGAGAAAAAGGACTTGGTTTTGCGGCCATCTGTTAATAGATACCTTAGCAATACCACAGAATGGGTAGCTTAATAGAAATTAATTTTTTTAAGCTGGCCATGGTGGCACACACCTGTGGTCCCAGCACTCAGGAGCTGAGGCAAGAGGTACACCACAAGTTTGAGACCAGCCTACATAGTGAGTCCAAGCCAGCCTGAACTGCACAGGGAGACCCTATCTCAAAAAAAAAAAAAAAAAAAAAAAAAAAGAATTTTTTTCACAGTTTGGAAGCCAGAAGTCCAAACTCAAGGAGTCACTCAGGTTGGTGAGCCTTTCCCCTGGCTCACAGAAGGCCACTCTTACCATGTCCCAATATGCCTTTTAGCTGTCTGCAGACACCTCTGGTGTTTCTTGCTCTTTATAGGAACATCAGTTCTGTTGGTTTGACCTAAAGCCCTATGTCTTCATTTGACTTTACTCACCTCTTTAAAGGCTCTGTCTCTAAATATAATCACACTGGGGGTTAAGGCTCCCTCAGATGAATTAAAGGAGACACAATTCTGTCCATTATAGTATTCATCTTCAAGTACTTTACATCTAAAAATTGGGTGGTTTCTTTTTTAATTTAAAGAAATTCTTAATAGAGATAGTTATAGGTAAATTTCCTTATGTTTATCTGTACTTTCTAATTTTTGGTACCAAGTTTTATTGCTATAATAATTTTAAATGCTTTAAAAATAGCATATAAAACATTTAACCTGCTTTAAAACTTACCAAATTAAGGGGCACATGCTCAGTGGTGGAATATGTACATAGCATGAAGGCCTGGGCCCAACCACTGTCACTAAAGAGAAAGGGAGCTTCTCACTAGGACTGGTAATGGCTTTCAACACATGTCTGTCAGGAAAGCAGAAACAGTGTCAAACAGCTTGTAGGTATCATGCTTTCTGTATTGTACTGGAAGACCTACATGTTCCAATCACCTGTGGCATTTGGTCAGCTGTTCCTGTATTGTGTCAGCCACTTAGGTTCAAGGTGATTCAGAGGAGGAAACATGAGTAGTTGGTCACTTTCATCACATTCTGTGATAGCTGAAGGTATGGACAGATGTAACTGTGTGGCAAATTTTTATGTGACAAACTATAAATAACTACTTGATTGACTTTCAGGGAATCCTGTATCAGCTGTGGTCACCTGCAATCTCTTTGTTGTTCCTGCACTGAGAAAGATGCAGGGCATCTTGGATCCTCGCCCAACCATCATCAAAGCCAGGGTAATGCTTTCCAATGACCAAATAGAAGCCTGATGACAATTAAGGATCTAACTTCCCCAAATAGACATGCCACATTTTATATCAGTTTTTATGATAAATGTGGTAATATTTTTTTCCTCTATAATAGAAAATGAGGGGCCAGGGAGATGGCTCAGTGGAATTAGTGCTTCCCTGGCAAGCACAAGGGCCTGAGTTCAATCCCCAGTTCCACCAAAAAAA